ACACGCGCGCGCGCGCGCATACACACACATGCAAACAAACAAAACCAAGGATTATAATTATCTGTCTCGTTCACAGACGTTGTGTCTGTGTCTGTGGTTGGTCCCATGAAGCCAGTCGCCGGCCAATCAGTGACGTTCACGTGTCAGGTCGAGAAAGGCGGCAGTGCCGCCAACCCCACGTACGTGTGGAAAGACGATGGGGCAGCGATCAACGGGCAGACCAGCTCTACCTACACCATCGCCACGCCGTCGGCAAGTACCGCCGGCCACAACGGAGTCCTGACATGTGAGGCGACTATAGGGAGTGAGGCAGCCACGGCTTCCGCTGGTCTCACAGTGGCAGTCACAGGTAGGCTAACTTACAGAGGCAACCTGTATCGGCAATGGCAAGATGAACATTGAAGGAATAGTTCAAACAACAACAACAACAAACAACAACAACAACAGCAACAACAACAACAACAACAACAACGATAACAGTAACACAAGTAGCAAGAAACGTAATATCGACTGCAACAACAACAACAACAGCAACAACAACAACAACAGCAACAACAACAACAACAACAACAACAACAATAGCAACAACAACAACAATAACAGCGATAAAAGTAGCACCAGTAGCAAGAAACATAATATCAAATGCAACAACAACAAAAGACCCTCCGATATCTCACTCGCGGACGAAGGAAATATACAGGGCAATTTCCTTAAACCAAGAGGCTCAAATCAAGCCCTGAAGTGACTACTGGCATAAATCAGGACTGGTCACTTCTCTGGGCTGCGGGCCTACAAAAATAGAATAGAGAAAAAATCGGACCCAATCTGTCCATTGTGCAGCGAGGAACCTCAAGATTTGGAGCACCGCCTGCAGAGATGCCCGCCACAGAGGCCAGGCGGTGGCATCTCTTTCGGGAGAATTCAGGGAGGTTGGACTGCCACACCCGCTACCCAAGAGAGGCGGTGGCCCTGGCGAAGAGCACGCTCATCGGGGGTCTCCAAACTTTTCGAACGGATAGGCTACCACACACACACACACACACACACACACACACACACACACACACACACACACAATGACAACGCCAACAATAACAGTAACAACAACAATATAAGGAACACCACCACCAACAACAACAATAACAACACCAATAATAACAACAACAACAACAACATGATCAACAGCATCAGCAAAATCAACAGCAACAACAACAACAGCAGTCCTGAACTCTCAGAGTGGCTGTCACAGGCAGCTATACTATGGCAACAGTAAGATAAACATAACAAAGACAAGATTTCCAACATCAACAAAAGCAGCAACAACAACAACTACAATAATAACAGCATGCAGCAACAGTAGCAAACAGCAAAATCAACAACAGCAACATCAGGAGTCCAGTACTCTCACAATGTCTGTCACAGGTACCTTTAAAAACAGCAGCATCAGCAACAAGATAAACATATTCAGGACAATAGTTTCAGCACAGTCTGCAGCAACATCAACAGCAAAACCAACATTAACAACAACAGCAACAGCAACAACAACAACAACAACAGCAGCAACGACATCGTGCTCTCATAGTAGCTGTCACAAATAACTATAGTAACAGCAACAGTATCAACAACAACAGCAAGATAAACATACTCGTATTTATAAGAATAGTTCTTTTAAAAACCCACTGCAATCTAAGCAACAGCAACATAGGCAAGAACATCATAAGTAGCAACAAAGACAACAACAACAACAACAACATCATCAATAACAACAACGATTCAACAACAACAATAACAACAACAACAGCGAAGCAACAACAGGATCAGCAACAACAAGAGAAACAATTTCAAGACAAACGTTCAAACAACAACAATTAATACAAATACAACAACAATAACAACAACAACAACAACAACAACAACAACAACAACATCATCAATAACAACAACGATTCAACAACAACAATAACAACAGCACCAATAAAAGCAACACCAACAGCAGCAGCAACAACAACAAAAGCAATAACAACATCAACAACAGCAGCAAAAACAGTAACAACAATAACAACATCAACAACAGCAATAGAACACTAATGTCAAAATGGTTTTCAAGGGTAATTATAGTATCATCAAACAGTGATAAAAACATGTCCAAAAACACCACAACCACCATCTACAACAACAAAAAATAACAACAATTACAGCAACAGCATCATAACGACATTATCAACAACAGCAACAACAACAACAATAATAGGACACAGCTGTCGCAAAGGTATTCACGGGTAACAGCAGTGTCAACAACAGTGATATAAATACATTTATATAAAGAAAATCACCACCACCATAGACAAGAACATCATCAACAACAACAACATCATCAACAACAACAGCAATACCAACAGCAGCAACAATAACCACAATAGGCGACTGCTCTTACAGTGGTCGTCACAAGTATAATATGTAATGATGTAGGACATTCTTTAATGTTGTTGTAATGATGTGAACAATACCATCAACCTTTTCGACTTAATGTGGAACAAATACAACAAAATCAGCTGCAAGAAAGAAGAACATTTAAAATATAATTCTAAAAATAGCCACAACAACAAAACATCAATAACAACAACAACAACAACGACAACAACAGCAACAACAACAAAAGCAATAAAGAAAGCATCAACGAATACAACAACAGTACATATCAACAGCAACAACGGCAATAACAACAATTATGTCATAAATAACAACAGCACATACAAACAACAACGACAACATCCAAGAACGAGAGCAATAGCTACATCAACAATAACGGCACTGGCTAGAGCTGTACCCCGGAAGCATACCCGCTCGTGCTCGCAAGCCCCTATTTAAGTCAAAGCCTCAAATCACTTGGTCAAATCACCAAATCAAATCACCAGCATGTTTCACTTAAACTTCAAGTCCACAACACTACTAGAAATCCGCGACGCCACTCGTGTCGGACCCCCTCATCTTCCCCACATACTGCTTGCTATCTGCGAAGCCCCATACGTCAAGAGAAAGAGAGAGAGAGAGAGAGAGAGAGAGAGAGAGAGAGAGAGAGAGAGAGACAGAGAGACGGGGTGGGGGTGGAAAGAAGGAGAAAGGCGGATTCTTCAATGAGAGTGAGAAGGAAGGCTTTTTCTTCACAGGTTTATAAATTGCAATAAGTAGGGAAACTATGAAGCGCACTGCAGTTTGTATCAATGTGATCAGTAAACAAAGGCTGTGTCCAATGTCCATCCTTGGGTGGGACTTTGGGCGCTGGATGAATTCATATCATTTTCTGAAATAACAAAAGATTATTTTGCAGCCCTGGATTAGTTCACACTTTCTGTCCCTTTAGACGAATAAAAAGTGGCTACTGAACAGAAAGCACAAAAAGGATTTTTTTTCTTTCTTTTTGTCTGTCTGTCTGTCTGTCTGTCTGTCTGTCTGTCTGTCTGTCTGTCTGTCTGT